GATATGCAGTAGTCGTGAAATATATTTTTTCGCTGGTGTTTTTCATATCACTAGGGTCAAGAAACTCCTTTATTATTCTTATTTGTATTGCTGTTTCTGAATGAGTATGAAAATTCGTCCGATCGCGAAATCGAGTAAAGCTGATGTTCCATAGGGGCCCGTCAGAATTCGGTATAAGTGTTTGCAATTTAAATCAACATTGGAGTTTCACCCGTTTTACGTGAAGTAGCATCAAACTCGGTGAAAAGCGCGATATTCGCGCTACACAGTAGTCCTGAAATATGTTTTTCACAAGTGTTTTCCATATCGCGGGTGAAACTTCATTGTTGTTATTGGATTTATGGTGTTGAGATTTTTCATAAGGTCTTTTTATTAGGGTTGGAATTGATAACGACTTTGTTGTCAAGACGGTGCACAGGAAAGCTGCAGGTGAGAAGCGAGGTGGTGGGATTGAACTCGGGATCGTCGGGTTTGACAACCACAATACTAACGGTTAGAGTAAATTGACGCTTGTGTTTTAGTTGGCTCTAGTGATGAGCTACATTCTTGGATGGTTGTTCGTCACACGGCTCCTGGAGGTTACTGTTTGCAAGAGGGAGATCTCGTTAAACTAGGACGATACCAAATGAGAGTCAAACAAGTAAGCGTCGTAATCTCGATGCCACTGAGATGCAGTGTTGGAGTAGGAATATATGTTCGCTTTCCTCACCTGTGCTCAGGAGTTTCCTATACAGTGTTGGAGTAGGAATATATGTTCGCTTTCCTCACCTGTGCTCAGGAGTTTCCTATACAGTGTTGGAGTGGGAATATATGTTCGCTTTCCTCACCTGTGCTCAGGAGTTTCCTATACAGTGTTGGAGTAGGAATATATGTTCGCTTTCCTCACCTGAGCTCAGGAGTTTCCTATACAGTGTTGGAGTAGGAATATATGTTCGCTTTCCTCACCTGTGCTCAGGAGTTTCCTATACAGTGTTGGAGTAGGAATATATGTTCGCTTTCCTCACCTGTGCTCAGGAGTTTCCTATACAGTGTTGGAGTGGGAATATATGTTCGCTTTCCTCACCTGTGCTCAGGAGTTTCCTATACAGTGTTGGAGTAGGAATATATGTTCGCTTTCCTCACCTGAGCTCAGGAGTTTCCTATACAGTGTTGGAGTAGGAATATATGTTCGCTTTTCTCACCTGAGCTCAGGGGTTTCCTTTACAGTGTTGGAGTAGGAATATATTTTTGCTTTCCTTAGCTGAGCTCAGGAGTTTCCTATACAGTTTTGGAGTAGGAATATATGTTCGCTTTCCTCACCTGAGCTCAGGAGTTTCCTATACAGTGTTGGAGTAGGAATATATGTTCGCTTTCCTCACCTGAGCTCAGGAGTTTCCTATACAGTGTTGGAGTAGGAATATATGTTCGCTTCCCTCACCTGAGCTCAGGAGTTTCCTATACAGTGTTGGAGTAGGAATAGATGTTCGCTTTCCTCACCTGAGCTCAGGAGTTTCCTATACAGTGTTGGAGTAGGAATATATGTTCGCTTTCCTCACCTGAGCTCAGGAGTTTCCTATACAGTGTTGGAGTAGGAATATATGTTCGCTTTCCTCAGCTGAGCTCAGGAGTTTCCTATACAGTGTTGGAGTAGGAATATATGTTCGCTTTCCTCACCTGAGCTCAGGAGTTTCCTATACAGTGTTGGAGTAGGAATATATGTAATCGCTTTCCTCAGCTGAGCTCAGGAGTTTCCTATACAGTGTTGGAGTAGGAATAGATGTTCGCTTTCCTCACCTGAGCTCAGGAGTTTCCTATACAGTGTTGGAGTAGGAATATATGTTCGCTTTCCTCACCTGAGCTCAGGAGTTTCCTATACAGTGTTGGAGTAGGAATATATGTAATCGCTTTCCTCAGCTGAGCTCAGGAGTTTCCTATACAGTGTTGGAGTAGGAATATATGTTTGCTTTTCTCACCTGAGCTCAGGAGCTTCCTATACAGTGTTGGAGTAGGAATAGATGTTCGCTTTCCTCAGCTGAGCTCAGGAGTTTCCTATACAGTGTTGGAGTAGGAATATATGTAATCGCTTTCCTCAGCTGAGCTCAGGAGTTTCCTATACAGTGTTGGAGTAGGAATATATGTTCGCTTTCCTCACCTGAGCTCAGGAGTTTCCTATACAGTGTTGGAGTAGGAATATATGTTCGCTTTCCTCACCTGAGCTCAGGAGTTTCCTATACAGTGTTGGAGTAGGAATAGATGTTCGCTTTCCTCACCTGAGCTCAGGAGTTTCCTATACAGTGTTGGAGTAGGAATATATGTTCGCTTTCCTCAGCTGAGCTCAGGAGTTTCCTATACAGTGTTGGAGTAGGAATATATGTTCGCTTTCCTCACTTGAGCTCAGGAGTTTCCTATACAGTGTTGGAGTAGGAATATATGTAATCGCTTTCCTCAGCTGAGCTCAGGAGTTTCCTATACAGTGTTGGAGTAGGAATATATGTTCGCTTTCCTCACCTGAGCTCAGGAGTTTCCTATACAGTGTTGGAGTAGGAATATATGTTCGCTTTCCTCACCTGAGCTCAGGAGTTTCCTATACAGTGTTGGAGTAGGAATATATGTTCGCTTTCCTCACCTGAGCTCAGGAGTATTTTCACTAATTAAAGAATTCTCCAGGAATTTCTCGCAATTTTCATTGTGCATTGATGGGATCATTTCAGATCATATTGGACGATGGTGCGTGTGAAGTCGCATCGAGGGTATGTCGCTCGGAATCAGCAGAGACATGCATGGGCACTGAAGACGAAGGCGAGGAAGATGCCGTAACCGGGAATCGATCTCGGGACCTTTGGATCTGCGGTGTTTCAGTGGCCGTCGTTGGACCTCGCGGAGACGTACAGACAGAGAAAGCGTCAATCGAGTCATTCATTTCGTAGAAGTAGTTGATGAATTTCATGGCGCGCGGTCATGGTTATTATCACAGGTTCTCGGGCGTTGTCTAGAGGTAGCGAAAGCGTCGTGTCACGTCGTCCATCTAGGACAGTTAGCCAGGACGAGATTGAGCTCTCTAGTGCTAAATCGAGTAATTGGAAATATGGGAGGGAAAATTTTGATGGTTTTCGTGTATATTTTCAGCCGAATTTTATAGTGATGAAACGCCTTTCCTCAATTTAGGGAAGCTAACATATATTACTCCAACACTGAGTGGAAGTCCTTTCATTGCCATCACCCTATGATTGTTGGCGGAAGATATGCACACGGTCAACTACATGTGTCGGTGACAATATGAAAATTCGGAGAAAGTTCTGGGAATTCTCATTGGTTTATGCACACTTATACCAGAATTCTCGCATAATTAGCCTTGGAAACTCCTGAGATCAGCTGAGGAGGGCGAACATATATTCCTACTCCAACACTGTATAGGAAACTCCTGAGATCAGCTGAGGAGGGCGAACATATATTCCTACTCCAACACTGGTGCAGGGCTCACTAACTTTTATGTTAGGTCTGGCAGTTGTCCCCGCGGTGGGAGGCGGTAGTGAAGATGCTAAGAAACTCGTATGTAAAATTTGCCTAATGGAAGGTAAGAGTGGCGGAATTATGTTGTGGAAAATTTCGCGCGCCATGAAATTCCAGTGAAATTGATATGCAAATGTGTGTTATTTTGTGAACAAGTTGTCGCTATCATCACAGTCCCAAACGGGTACTTTCATCACAACATATGTTCATAGCCATTGTTACATTGTATATGCGATATAGTTTAATCTCGGAAAAAATAACACACATTAATAACGGAAAAATATTTTCATGATTGCAGCGGAGCGATGCATGAGAGATGCTCAATAACACACATTAAATTGACGAGTAATCTTCGCTCAGGTGCTGAGGATGATGATCCGATGATCGCGCCCTGTAGTTGCAGTGGGAGTATCCGGTAAGTGGACATGATCTGTATCTTCATTAGTCAACCTCAAGATACGTTCACCTCTCCTGCCTGCGTCGGTGGATCAATGGGCGACTAGAGCTTCCTGATGAAACTGATATACCATCATCTTGTCACTTTTTCTACAAGCAGTTATCTTGCGAACTGTGCAAACAGCTTTACCCTACATATGTAATATTGTCACTTCCTAGATCGACACGGAAATTGGAGGAGTTTTGGTTCTACACAGTACGGGAAATTTTTTTCATAATCGTTGAGTAATTTTTTCCGTTCTTTTGTCAACAAATACTGAAAATGTTTCAGATTAAACTACCCGGCTGTGAAACTGTGACCAGCTTGGTAGAAGTACCACAACTTCGGGCGCCGCTGGTCGTGTTGGAGTCGCTTGCTAGTAACGAAGAAAATGCTGGTAAGATATTGTGTATTCAATTCTAGAATGGAGCATGTTTTTAAATGGGATGGGAATCCGGAAATATTGAAAAATTTTATGATTTTGGGAATATGTGGGAAAACAATTTTTGACGGAAAAATGTCCAACCCGGGGATCGAACCGGGGACTAATACCAGGGCAGTTTTTGGTGCGCATACTAGATCTATAACCACCAAGTGAACATGACGAGCCCAATTGAAAATCAATTGTGATTATCACATCTGATCACTTTGTGGGTGTTCGCCCGTGAAATGATCGTACCTCGTAGGGACGACATAGTCGTATATTAGCATCTAACGTGGCCTTACTACTCGACGACCAGCCTAGCGTTACCCTTCTGGGGGAATACTCACAATCACTAGTCGCTGGTCCGGACTAAGCCAGCTTAGTATTGTGAAGAAAAGTCGAGAAAATTATGTTTAGATTCGTCATCGATGTCGTCAACCTCTCCTCTCACTCCATCGGGGCTGCACATTATCAGTTTAGCTGATAGTAGTCCGGTCGTGTTGGGAAGAGGCCACGAGAGTCAAGTTCGAATCACTGATGTGAGTGAATAATTTTGTGGCGCGCGCGAAAAATATCGATCTGTTAAATGTAGGTGTCCATTTCTCGTAAGCATGCGAGCCTTCGTTATGAAAACGGTCATGTTTGGATACAGGTAAGCGCTACGAAATTACAGCGAAAAATATCTGTTGTTATTCGATCAGGATTTGATGTCAAAATTCGGCACGCTGGTGGCCGTACGAGGCGGAGAAGTTCCTCTGTCGGCCGATGGGGCTCCGACGGCTATTCAGGTAAGGTGCTTGTGTTTCTGTTGAGGGGGGATGGAATGCTATCGTAATATCATAGATTATTTCGGGCTGTTATGGTATAGAAATAGGGGAAGGATTATGTTTCAAATCAACAGTTATATATAGTGAATGTATTGGAATAACGTCACACTAGGCAGTAGGGAATTTCGTTGCCCGAAATGGTAAGCTTATCAATTCACGTATGCCGCACACGTTCGAATCCCACGGATGTCATTTTTAACGCACTTAATATATCAAATTGATTAGCACTGTTGATTCTATGGAAGGGGTCTGTTGAGAATTTATGATTTTGTATATTGTTGATTTTCAGTGGAAAATTAAAAAAATATAAAAAATATTTTAATATTTTTATGTAAGTAGTATTTGGTTTTTCAGGTCGGCCGGACTCTCTTCTCACTATCGTGCATACCATCAGTCAAGTTACCGGCGAGTTTCGATGTTGACGACGCAAAAGGTGGGTAGAAATGGCGATGGTGTGGTATGGTCGAAGAAATAAAATAATATATTCATATGTATATGGCTCTCCCACAGTTGAGGTCATTAATTATAGAATTCGAAGTGTACAGAAAGCAATAAGGAATTCCCAAAAACTAGAACCAGTGTTGGAGTAGGAATATATGTTCGTTTTCCTCACCTGAGCTCAGGAGTTTCCTATACAGTGTTGGAGTAGGAATATATGTTCGCTTTCCTCACCTGAGCTCAGGAGTTTCCTATACAGTGTTGGAGTAGGAATATATGTTCGCTTTCCTCACCTGAGCTCAGGAGTTTCCTATACAGTGTTGGAGTAGGAATATATGTTCGCTTTCCTCACCTGAGCTCAGGAGTTTCCTATACAGTGTTGGAGTAGGAATATATGTTTGCTTTCCTCACCTGAGCTCAGGAGTTTCCTATACAGTGTTGGAGTAGGAATATATGTTCGTTTTCCTCACCTGAGCTCAGGAGTTTCCTATACAGTGTTGGAGTAGGAATATATGTTTGCTTTCCTCAGCTGAGCTCAGGAGTTTCCCATACAGTGTTGGAGTAGGAATATATGTTCGCTTTCCTCAGCTCAGCTCAGGAGTTTCCTCACTAATTATAGACTTCGGGTAGAAGTGTACACAAACCATCAGGAAATTCTCAAAGTTTTACCATTGTCACCGAGCGCTGAGTATTTTGTCTGATTTCAATTGATCTCAGATTCCGTCGCATCGGAGCATCTCGGTAACGTCCCTCGAGAGTCTTCACTTTCATCACCATCGTTTCTATCAAGTCACTCCATGAATAATGATGATCATCATCGCAATGAAGAACAGCGCAGTTTTCTATCATCGCTCCGTCGTACTACCTCAAACGCCTGGTACGTCACCATGGAGAGCCGCAACCACTCGTCGTGAATCAACTGTCAATTCTCTTCTATGACGGTTACTTTAATTATCAATCATAACACCATCATTATTTATTGTACATCGTTTCGTCAAGTTTACAATACTTTCACCGCCATTTTGAGCTCTCACCGTGTCAGCCGTCTTGGTCGACTTGTCGCGGGTTCTGTATCGTTGACGGGTGCCGCTTTGTATTTTTCGCTATGGGATGCAGTTCTTGCTGCTTGCCTGCGTATGTGTATAATTTCGTGGCGCGCGGTCATGTGAGAGGCGACTAGTAATATTAGTAGTAATTTTATATGGTGGCTCTAGCCGGTGTTGTGTGTGGGCGTATGCTCCTAAACTAAGAGGCCTGAGAACGCGCTCTCCACATCGGCAAGTGAAAAACACTGAGTATGTTCATAATACTTTTGTTCCTCATAGTAGCACAGCTGTTATTCATAGTGGTGGTGGTTGTTGTTGTTAAGAATCTGTATGCGGTTCCATCGCGCTGTGGTTGTAGAGCAGCAGCAGCAGGCTCGATGAAGACGATGTGGTGATGGTGTGGTATGAGTTGTCTTAGTGATAGCAGCAGTATATTACTTAGTGAAGGCATTCTGTTTATTCTGGCCGTTGAGGTCGGTGGACAATGTGAATGTTCCTCGCGTGGTTGGTACTGTTTGACGAGCTGATCGTTTCACATTCAATTGGAAAATTGAGTTCATTTTCCTGTTGTGTTTCCGATCAATTTGAGACACCCCGATGAATTGTCATTTTCAATGTTGTGGAGAAACTAAGAGCAGTGTGAGAAAATATGCGCTGGTGATGATACGAAAATTCTGAGAAAATTTCGGGAAATTCTTATTGGTTTCTGTACACTCTTTCCCGAATTCGTATATAAACTCCTGAGCTCAGGTGAGGTAAGTGAACACATATTCCTACTCCAAAACTGCTGTTATATGTCATCGTCCTCTTCTGGTCCTCCTGGTGAAGCTGATGCGAGTTGCTCACAAGTGTCTATAGATGCATTACTCGCTCAAGCGGAGGCGATGTGGGAGTTCTACCGCCAATACTGTGCCGTGGTCAACAGGACTGTTGTTGTTATGAAAGAGGTTGACGACGTTATCACCAAGCGGTCTCGGTGTGCACGCATACACAAAGTAGAACTGCTCAAGCGACGACGACAAGACCTAGTTTTTGAAGTGCGACAAGAAACTGCTAAAAGTGAATTTTTGACCACAAAAATTGCAACAGTTGGTGTCTACCGCGAAGAGTGTTCTGAAAGTGTTATCAAAGTCGCTGGTCGGCAACTCGAATCTTTGGGGTATCGTGCTAAGCTGAGACCGACAGCAATCATTGATAAAAGTGAAAGGGTGCTGAAAAGCCTCGTGTTTTGTCGGTATTATATTCGTCTCATGATGTTGAGGGAAATCACCAACGAGTTGTACCCCATAGAAAATTTCAGTGGACGCTACCGCACCATTAGAGGCTTTCCTATGGTGTCAAGTCGCGACATGATCGCTCAAGAACAGTTTCCTAGTGTAGCCGTTCTGTATCTATCTCATTTGATTTGTATGCTATCTTATGTGCTGGGAGTTCCCCTCGGGTTCAGCAGTGCTGACACTAACCCGATGCGGTTGCTTGCTTCTAGTGATCGTTCTACTGTGCTTCGTGGGTCGAGACTTCTCGAACCGTGTATGCGAGCTTTACTGCAGGGAAGAGACTGTTATGTCCCTAACATGGCAAGTGGGGAAGTGCTGCCGTTGGAAATGATGGAGATTCTACTCAAACGGGAGATGCATTCACTGCGGTTTTGATGATGAACAGTTGTTATGTAGCATTGATAGTGTTCACAGTGTCACCGGAAAGTTTCCTTCTCACTATTGGTTTGCATTCATCAGTTGGCATTTTCGGGAGGGAGAAATGTCCTCACCGGGGATCGAACTTGCAGCCTTGCTCCGCTGTAGTCTATAGCGTTTAAGATTTTTGGCATTAGCGCTCGCCATAGCGATCGATTTGTTATCATCGTGGGGGGGATTATCGTGAGCTGAGGGATTTGTGTCCTCAAGGATTCCATCTATGTTAGGGTCTAGTTATCGTACGTTTACTAATAATGACTGATACTGCTGAAACTACCACCACTACTGAGCGCGTTTCCTCCTCAACTTGCTTCATCTGCAACGAGCCTGGTCACTTCGCCAGAGATTGCCCTCAGGCTAGTAGCAGCACTCGTGTAAGAATTACGATTGGTGTGGTATGAATATATCTTCTATTAGCCTACTGGTCGTCGCCCTATGAACTGCTACAACTGTGGCAAGCCCGACCATCTCGCTCG